TGACTTTGTAGGAATTGAGAGCCTCCCCACCAGTCTCGTCCCAGGAAAGCTCCAGGCAGCTGCAAAAACAGGTGCTGGTCCCTAAGCCCTTTCACCATCGGAAGCTCACAGTTGGCCTGGGAAGTTCTGCCCACAGGCTGGGCCTTGTCAGCAGCTGGCTGGGCTGGGCAGCAGGTGGGTCCCCGGGACAGGTGTGCATCAGAGTCCTGAGGAGGGCTGGTGAGGACAGGGAGAGGCCCCATAGCACACACGGCCCGCGTGGGTCATCTTGCCACCTTCCTTTTTACTACGACTCAGGCATTTTAGAGGACAATATCCCTGAGGCCTCAGATCAATTTCTCTGAGCAGGGCGGGGATGGGGGACCTCTTTTTTTTTTTTAATTAACTAAAGTCCATAATTTACATTAGCCATTAGCTTTCACACTCTGTGTTGTACAGTTCTGTGGGTTGTGACAAATGCATGATGTCATGTATACACCGTGAACGTATTATACAGCATCCTTTTTTTTTTTTTTTTTTTGAGATGGAGTTTTTCACTCTTGTCGCCCAGGCTGGAATGCAATGGTGCGATCTCAGCTCACTGCAACCTCTGCCTCCCAGGTTCAAGCGATTCTCCCCCCTCAGCCTTCCAAGTAGCTGGGATTACAGGTGCCCACCACCAGGCCTGGCTAATTTTTGTATTTTTAGTAGAGATGGGGTTTCACCATTTGGCCAGGCCGGTCTTGAACTCCTGACCTCAGGTGATCCACCCATCTCGGCCTCCCAAAGTGCTGGGATTACAGACATGAGCCACTGCGCCAAGCCTGCAGCGTTTTACTGCCCTAAACATTCCCTGTGCTCCATCCATTCTTCCCCTCTCCCCCTACCCTGCCTCCAGGACCCTCGTGTTGCAGAAACAAAGAGGGTACGATGACTTGCCCAGGATCTAGACGGAGAGAGGCAGAGCCTAGAACAGAGTCTCAGAGGCATCGCCTGTCCCCGGAGCCCAGCTCTCATGGCCACCACGGCCGCCTCTTCCTTCCACAGGCCTCTTTTCCTGCACCCCTCCCCTACTTCTCCCATGCCCCTCGGCTCGTGCCCATCTTTCCGTGTGTTCATCCTTTCCCTCACCAGCCCTTGGCCACACCTCAGATTCATACACGCGCATGCTCACACACACACACACAAACACACGTGTGCACACACATGAGCCCCGCCTGCCACCCTTCCTCACGACTCACCATGAGGCCCTTCTGGACATTCAGCAACAGCGTCTGCACCTCCTGCAGGTACTTCCAGGACGGGTGGCCGTCGAGCAGCACGTCCTGCACCGACTCAGTGGCACTGAGACTCACCAAGACCCACAGATACCGCAGCTCCCGCTCGCTCACCCGGGCCCTCTGCTGCGGAGACAGAGAAGTCACTGCAACCCCGGAGACACAGGCCTCTGGGCTCTGACCAATCTGACCAGCCCCTCACCAGGAACTTGCCCCTGCACAGGGAGCAGACACAGGCTGTGCACTGCGGACAGTGAACAAACGTGTACCTGGGCCAAGGGCCAGCCTGCTCTTGGGGCTGAGGAGAGGCCCCAGGCCAGCAGCACCACCTGCCAATGCCAGCGCGCCTCTGAGGCTGGGACCACCGGATGTTGCAGGAGGCAGGGTCCCCCCAGCCCAGGAAGGGATTCTTACCAGCCTGGTGACATTGGCGATTCTGAACACCCCCTCGTAAGGCACACTGATCTTGTAGTTGATGGGGAAGTAGTGTTTCTAGAGAGGCACAGGAACAAACTATGAGGCCAGAAGTAGAAAAGGCCAGCAGACTCCCCAGCCTCCCAAGTGATCTTTTTTTTTTTTTTTTTTCTTTTTTTTCAACGGAGTCTCGCTTGTCGTCCACCAGGGCGGAGTGCAGTGGCCGGATCTCAGCTCATTGCAAGCTCCGCCTCCCGGGTTCTTTCACCCTTCTCCTTGCCTCAGCCCTCCCCGGAGTAGCGTGGGACTAGGCGCCCAACCCACCCTCGCCCGCTAGTTTCTTGTATTTTTCTAGTAGAGAGGGGTCTTCACCCGTGCTTTAGCCAGGATGCGTCTCCGAACTCCCTGACTCGTGTCCGCCCCCGTCTCGGCCGTCCCGGCCCCCACAGTGCCTGGGATTAACACAGGCCCGAGCCACCGCGCCCGGCCCCAACGTGATGCTTTTCTCAGTAGGTCTCACTCCTGTCACCCCAGTCTGGAGTCCAGACGGGCACGCTCATGGCTCCTGAAGCCTCGACTTCCCAGGCCTCAAGCAATCTCCCACCTCAGCCCCCCAGATACTGTGGGACTACAGGGTGTTGTGCCACCATGACCAGACGATTTTTCTTCTTTTTATTTTTTGTAGAGATGGGGATTCGTCATGTTGCCCAGGCTGGTCTTGAACTCCTGGGCTCAAGCAATCCTCCCGCCTCAGCCTCCCAAAGTGCTGGGGTTATAGGCATGAGCCACCATGCCCGGCCTCCAGATGAATTTTGATGTAGAAGGAGAGAACTCAGGGCCCAGCCTTTTGATGGTAGAGGTGGTCCTGTGCAGAGAGGTCTGCCTGGCTCCTAACTGGGATAAAAACAACTCACTTTCCTCTGGGACACAGGTAGGGCGAAACAAAATACGCAGCTACTATTAAGGCAGAAGTTTCACGCTCAAGAGTGAGGGCGCGCTACTTCAAGAAAAACATACTATTGTGTGGGTGAGAATCTTTTTTTTTTTTTGAGACGGAGCCTGTATCTGTCGCCCAGGCTGGAGTGCAGTGGTGTGATCTCGACTCACTGCAACCTCTGCCTCCCGGGTTCACTCCATTCTCCTGCCGAGTAGCTGGGACTACAGGCGCCCGCCACAACGCCCGGCTAATTTTTTGTGTTTTTGGTAGAGATGGGGTTTCACCGGGTTAGCCAGGATGGTCTCGATCTCCTGATCTCGTGATCCGCCCGCCTCGGCCTCCCAAAGTGCTGGGATTACAGGCGTGAGCCACTGCGCCCGGCCAAGAATCTTATAAAACCTACGATGGTGATGGTTGCACAACTCTGTGAACTAAAAAACCTTTGAGCTGTGCACTTCAAATGAGTGAATTTTGTCTTTTATATATAAATATGTACATTCTATCTCAGTAAAGCTGTTAAAATAAAAAAGACATAAGCCAAGTGCAGTGGCTCATGCCTGTAAGGAGAGAAGCTCACTTGAGCCCAGGAGTTTAAGGTTACACTGAGCTATGATCCCGCCACTACACTTCAGCCTGGACAACAGAGTGACACCCTGTCTCTAAAAATTAAATTAATTAATTTAAAAAGTTACATAGGTCAGGCATGGTGGCTCACACCTGTAATCCCAGCACTCTGGGAGGCCAAGGTGGGCATGTGGCTTGAGCCCAGGAGTTCAAGACCACCCTGGGCAACATGGTGAAACCCCCTGTCTGCTTACTCAAAGAACAAGATTTAATTAGGGCTGGGGAGTGTGGGCACATGGGAGGCCGAGTATTTGG